CTCAACAATAAAGATAAATTAAAAAATAAAACAAAAAAGATCAAGGTCACTACTTGTTTCCTAGTTGGGTAAACCAAGCAGCGAAGAGTTGTATTCATTTTGTCAAAATCTCACAGCCAGTTGGGGAGGGCGGGCAGGAAACCCTGCCAGCGGGGGGGCTCGCCGGGTGCCACGGGGAGTGTGTTCTCAGAGGAATGACTGCCCAGGTGGGAAGCAGAACGTAAGCGCTTAGGTTTGATGGGAAAGTATAACTTTTCATAGCTAAGGATTTGTACTTGTTTTCTAGTCCAGCTGTAACAAATCGCCACCAATGCAGTAGCTCACGACACACAATGGCCGTCTCCCGGCTCCATGGGCCAGCAGTCCCGTGAGCTTGTCTAGTGTTCAAGGCCCCCAGGCCACAGCCACGGTGCTGGCAAGCTGTGCTCTCTCTGGGGGTTCTGGGAGGGAAGCCTCTTCCGGACTCACTCGGGTTGTTGGCAGAATTCGGTTCCTCTCGGTTGTGGAGCTGAACCCCCCCTCCCCGCCGGCTGTGAGCTTGAGGGCCACCTTCATCTCTGGACCTCACCCCGGGCCCGTCAAGAGGAACGGAATCTAAATTCCCGGGAGTAGAATCCAGGCCACGATCTTTCTTCCTTGATCAAATCCATCCTGTAAGTAACTTGCTCAACACGCACTTTCCGTGCGGCCTCTCTGTAGGGTGAGAGCGCGGGTGTGGTGCGCGTCCCACTCCTGCCATGTGCTCCTGCCTACGGGGCATCCGCGCTCCAGCCGCTCTCACCTCCGCTGAGCCACTCGCCCTGCACGCCCCAGGCGTTCATTGTGCCTGGAGGCGTTTGCACAACACTTTTCTTCATTTACGCTTGGTAGTTCTTTTTACGACTGGCCAGGACCTAGAGACAGAGGAGTGAAGAGTGTCGGGGGTCAGGAGGCCGGGGAGGTGCTGTCTTCCTATTGTATTTCCCCAAGTTCACAGCCAAGAGCTTCCCTGTGTTCGCTGAGCGTGCAGGCTCCCAGCTCCTCCCCCAGAGGTTTGGGCTCAGGGTCGGGGTGGGGCCCCCCATGCTCCGGACGTTCTGGTGGCGACGCTGAGGGCGGGGAGCGTGGGCTCCCACTTTCAGGGACACTGGTTCCTGCTGCATCATTGACTGGGCACCTGCTCACTCCAGAGCCTAAAACATAACCCGAGCTCCAGGCAACTGTGCACAAAAGGGTGCCGAGTCTGAGGCTCTCACGGCAGTGAGAGAGCCGCAGGGAGAGGAAGCCTCTCTATGTTCTGTTTTCTTACCTCTTCGTATCTTGTAAGTGTTAGGGACACCGGGCCAGGCTGGGGGTGGGAGATTAAAATCTACACGGGCATCTCTTTCTAAGAAGGTTCTGCTGGAAGGAAAGACAGTTCTTCGCAAGAATAATTGTAAGACTTCGATTTTGCCACAAAAGAAAAAGACAAGAAGAGCGAGGAGGGGGTAGAGGCGGTGAGGATGGCGCACTTGGCGCTGTTGGCAGCGGCACCGTCTCTGCCACACGCGCCGAGTGACAGGAGGCGCCGATTGCCAGGCAGGTGGGGGTGTGGGGGGGAGACGGGGCTGAGTCCTGTTGGGGTTCAGGAGACGTGCAGCGTGTGTCATACCCCATCCACGGAGGCGCGTACAGATAGCAAACGCCTCGCTTCGCTCCCACCCAGGTTCAGGACACCTGATGGCAAATCAGCCGCGCATGGGGAATGCTTCTTAGCCAACTTTATAGAGGCTTTATGAATAATGGAGAAATGATATGGCTTCGGGCCTACAAAAATCAAATACATTTTGGAAATGGAGGAGTGGAAGATGCAAGTTGTATTTTTTTTCCCTTAATCTTGGATTGAACATATACTTTTAGTATTAGGCTTAGGCAATTCAACTGAAAATAAGACTTATTATAAAGAAAAGGAAATTAATAGTGTACACAAGAATAATAACGATCGGGGGGAAGAAGCAGGCTTTCAAGCCTTGTATTCATTTATAGGGTTTATATATTTGTGTTCGATAAATCAGTATTGTCACTTCTATTTATAATTTTATGTCGAATAAAACATGCTTTTACATGGAAATAAGTCAAAAAGACTGGTTAGAATTTGTGATTTCAGCATTAAGATCTGTGAAACGTGTCTTGTGAGATCTATGACAATTTAAAAAAATGAAACCAGACTAACATTCCATAAAGACCTGAGAGACTAGGATGTTATCTGAGATCTTAAAACAGTCTTTATTTCTCCAAGTTCTTTCTGTGATGAAATAAATCATTTTTATTTTCTGCTGGTGATTCTTTGGGCAAGAGGCACCGTCTGTTTAGAAATAAGCTATTCTTCATCCCATGTGTACAGTAAAGAAGAAATTATTTTGTTTCTAATAGTAGCACCAAATCTCCCAGTTTGTTTAATTTTGAGATGTGAACATAAAATAGTTCGGATGGGAAGCACAGAGCTAGCAGTTAGAAAGAGAAATTGCCAGTAACTGCTGCTCGTACCATTGTGATGACAAAGCCACTTAAGAGTTTAAACTGAGTGTTCTCAGTTTTGATGAAGTGCTTTTCCCACCAAACAAACCTAAGCGCACTTGAAAAGAAACCCACAGTAGAGTTAGTCATTCAACTTGACCTCCTCTAGCTAAATACTTCGTCTCTTCTCAAAACTATGTAAGCGCTACTACATTTCACAAAGAAGTGAACAAGATCTGAACGACATTTACAATGATTTGCTTAACCGCTCTGGGCAGTTACTATCAGATGTATTTCAGGAAAGATAAATTTAGAATAAGGTAAATCCTGGAGAAAGAACCACTTGCTGGCCCAGCCAGCGTGGCTCAGTGGTTGAGCGTCGACCTATGAACCAGGAGGTCACGGTTTGATTCCCAATCAGGGCACATGTCCAGCTGGTGGGCTCGATCCCGGGTGTGGGGTGTGCAGGAGGCAGCCGATCAATGATTCTCTGTTATCGTTGATGTGTCTATCTCTCTCTCCCTCTCCCTTTGTCTCTGAAATCAATAAAAATATATTTTAAAAAATAATAAAATTAAAAAGAGAGAACCACTTGCTGAATGAACACGTTAGAGGCAATATGCAAAGAACCAAGAGCTAAACTGAGGAATACAAGTCAGCATACATCTCCTGATAGCAACCATGCCATTACATCTATGCCGATATGAGACTCGATTTCAATGCCCTTCAGATGTATCCGCCTGGCGTCACCTGCACGATGCATCTGTTGTTGCTCTAGAGAACTCTTGGTGAAAGGGGCGATTCCTCCAGAACCACTTCTCACCGCCAAGTGTCCTCTGGCGAGGAAATTGGATTGATCCTCTGTAGAGTAGACGACTCAAGTGAATGGATCCCCAGGTACAATGGGCAGGTGCTCACCGTGTGTCTGAAAGACTGCCACCCACACTCGCTGCTGCCCCTGAGAAACCCGGGGCCCACAGACCCGCCCCCTTCATTAGGGGTGCTACACGTTTACGCAGTGCAAAGCACAGCCTCGTTCCCGGGGGCCCACTCTCCAGCTCGCCGGGACTTGGGAAGGAAAGCTATGAAAGTGAAATGACTTGCAAGGATAAATATTTTGTGAGTTGAACAACGTCCTCTTAAAATATGGCAAGTGCCAGAATGACGTAGTCACACCAAGGGATGTTTCACTAGGGTACCTTTTGGGACTTTGATCTCGAAGCCCACCAGATAAGCAACAAAAATAACTGCGAGTGTTGGGTGAAATATTTTTCAAATATGTTGGTTTCAGGAAAAACTCCAAACATGTTTTTGAAGCACTTTTCCCTTCAGTTATTAAAGGTAATTTAATACTTACTCATGTGTAAGTCATCAAAGAATTGTTTCATAAAAACCTATCTGATTTCCAAATAGAATAATATTTATTTACATTTATATTTGTATATTTTGGTATTATATATATTTGCTACAGAAAAATATGAAATACTCTTTTAATTTTGGCTTAATTGCTAGGATTTTCAAGTCAGTATAGTAAACTACAGTTTGTTCAATATCCAACCAGCCACAGAACTTGAAATCTGAGTAGTTTCAGGACTTTATTGTGTAAGAAACTAAACATGCTGCTATAAGAACCCCGCCACCCCCCACTTTCTCTTGTCAGTACAGATTCCAGCACTACGTAAAGCCTTCTGTAAGGCATTTATGAAAGCATTAGTAAAATAAATGACCATCAATAGTTATGATTAGTGTTCTTGTTTTTAAATTTAAAATCCTAAAGTGCTTTATCAATTCATTTTTTTCATTAATTTATACAACAAATGTAAGTTACCTGCCAGTCACAAAGTATATGAAGGTCAATCAGAAATGGCTTCTGGCGCCCAACTGGCGTGGCTCAGTGGTGAGCATCCACCTATGAACCAGGAGGTCACGGTTCGATTCCTGGTCAGGGCACATGCCTGGGTTGTGGGCTCGATCCCCAATGTGGAGCATGTAAGAGGCAACCGATCAATGTTTCTCTCTCATCATTGATGTTTCTATCTCTCTCCCTCCCTTCTCTCTGAAATCAACAAAAGTGTGTGTGTTTTTTTAAAAAAAGAAATGGCTTCTGGCTCTGAGAAACCATACCAGCAAGGGAAAGAGAGATCCATGAAACTGACGCCACACATCCCAAACGAAGATTAGACAAAGCAAGTTATTCAAAGGAAGATTAAACTCGAGTTTAATTTTAAAATCTTCTTATCATATTAGAGTTCTTTGAAGTTTACTTGGATAAAATATTCCGTTAGATTTTTCAGTATCCCAGGTATCCTGGATAAATGAAAATTGATGTTTCTCTATCTAATGAAAAAACAACATATATGTGTGACAAATCTCAAATATAATGTAAGCAAGAGACTTAAAAATTGGAATAGTTTAATAAAAATACCATTTTCATAGTGGTCTTTGTTTTGAAAATTTCAATTTATCATGGAAATAATTTTGGCCCATTAAAATGATATTAATTACTATCTCACTCAATATTTTAGGTCATGACCCCAGCATTTAAGAAGTTCTTCAAGGCAGTGTTGAACATGATCCAAGAGAAAATGTGATTTGAGTCTGGAGACAGCTGTGCATGTAAGTATTAGAAAATTAGATTTTTCTCATGTCAATGTAATAAAAGCTAAAATATCAGCTCATTAATTACTGAATTGTAAAAACTTGATTAATGTTTTCCTTCTGTTACGACATGCATGGTTTTTCATATCTGAAATTAATACAATGTGTCTAATTTTTTTGGTTATATTTTTCTTAAGGTCAGCTAATAAAGCCCAGTATAGCAGAGAGGAGAGAAGCTTTCTTTGGGAGACTGCTACCACTTTTTTATAAACTGCTTCCAGGTGAGTCATCGGTGAAGGGAGCAATGGCATAGATTCTATTTGCTAGTTCCTGGCGCGCTCCCATGGCACCTGATGATAAAACAATACACAGAACACGTGGGCAAGGCTTCTAGAATTCTTACTCTAACCCTTGCCCTATAGTAAAAAGCATGACAGCTTTCCTAACAAAATGAAATCTAAGGTTACACTTCACTGGCAAATAGCCATGGATTGAACGTTTTTTTTATCTCCTTTGAAAAACATTTTTTACACATTTATCGTCATATTTTATGATGCTACCAGGACAATCTGTACCTCATAAAAAGCTGTCAGGGGAGGTGTCTCGGGCACCTCACAGGGGGTAAGTGTCGCACACTTCACCCCGCAGTGCTGTTAGCTCAGGGTGGTGGTTAGGGACCATTTTTCATTTGTTCAGGATTCTATCCACTATTAGAAATGCTGACCAGAAATGCTTTTGTTTGGTATGTCTATCTTCTGCAACCAAATCTTAATAATGTCCATGACTTAGGGAATTGTTTATTCCCTGGTTAAAAAACAAAACAAACAAAAAACACCACAACTGTGAAGAATAATTTCTATAAAATTATAAGGCCATTTCTATAAAATTGTAAGGCCATTTTAATGAAATATGAAAGTTGATTCTCAAGAAATTGGCCCAAGAGCAATTTGTCCCTTTAACGTATTGAAAACTCAGAAAATTAAAAATGAGATTAATATTTATAGGAAATAAAGATGAGTTTTATAGTAAATATGCCATCAAAAGTGGTGCTTTTATGTTTACTTTGATACTTTAATTATTTTATCCCAATTTTGGTGAAGGAAAAGAAAACAAGATGTTTTCTAATTACTAAAAATGTATATGCCAGAAGCTTACCTGTGTGTAATACTAATTAAATTAAATTGAAATGTATTCAATTAAGCTCATTAGTATTTTAAGCCATAATGCTCTTAACTTTGTAATACATAAGACTATTCCTCAAGTCCTTAAAGCAAAGTTATTGTCATTTGAAAGAAATTTTCTGCTGAGAACCAGGTATATGTATTTCATAAATGTTGATGAATTATATTGTGTTCATTCTCTATTGCAGTTTGGTTTGTATCACATACATATTTTATTGGGGCCTTGATGATGGAGAAAAGGCGTGTGCGGTGTTTCCTGTACCTCCTGCCTTTCCTCATGGTGAGCATACTTTTTCTGATACATCTGCCTCGCTGTGATTATTGCTTCTCTAACTGCCCACACATCTATCGCTGACAAAGATGCATCGCCACAAAAGGACATGCCATGATCCGATGCACAAACCGAGGACATGTTTACACCGGTCAGCACAGCAACGACCTACTTCCCCTCCGTGTGCACTTCAAGGCCTTTGTCCCGGAGCAGGGACGGTGGGACGGTGGGACGGTGGCGTAGTTGGGTGGGGACATGTCAGGGTGAGACAAGCACATGGACACAACCATGCGAGACCCCAGAGGAAAGTGCTGCTCAGTTTGAAAACAAGCACAGGATGGCTCACAGCCCGCCGCGCGCAGTGGGTCAGCTACTTCAGCGGGGCCTGTGGGGTCTGAGACAGCAGATCCTAACCTGCTGGTCTTCCTCCCATTCTGCCAGCTGATTGGCTTACGTCGATTAAAACGCAATTGGGAATCGTGCGCTGGGTTTTGAGTTCACGTCCTCACCCTCTCATTCAGATAAGCATTGTGCCGTGTCCGGGCAGGCCGGCTGCCAGCGCGGGCAGGCGTGTACACGAGTGTGTGCAGTGGCTCTGCCGTCTCCGCAGGGGACGCGGGGCTGGGAGGGGAGGGTGGACCGGGGGGACGAAAAAGCAACTGCTACCCTGGACGGTCATGGGCCCCACACATTTAATGTTATGTTTCTTTTTTAAAATATATTTTTATTGACTTCAGAGAAGAAGGGAGAGGGAGGGAGAGATAAAAACATCAATGATGCGAGAGAATCATTGATCAGCTGCCTCCTGCCCGCCCCACACTGGGGATCGAGCCCGCAACCCGGGCCTGTGCCCTGACCAAGAATCAAACCTGGGACCCTTCAGTCCGCAGGCCAACGCTCTATCCACTGAGCCAGACCGGCCAGGGCAGATTTCATGTTTCTTTACAGCAATATTTTGCTTATGTTTCTCTCTGTCTCACATTAAACCTGTCGTATTAATTGGAATTTTTCTTGCAAAGATTCCAATGGAGCCCCCGAGACAGAAAGCCATGCCCGTGGGAAGGTGCAGTCCCCACCCCAGCCCAGCCCGGCGTGTCTCCCGCTAGAACGTGGCCGGGCTCCCAGCTCATGCTCCGATGAGAAGCTGGGGGACATGATCTCCTCCCGTCCTGTGCCAGCAAATACTTTGCCTGTGGTTTTCCAAGCAAACCCCACAAAGACGCAAACAAAGAAACTCAACAAAAACACAGAAAACTGAACCTGGAGGAAAGCAAGGCCGCATTCCTGTCTGCATGAGAGTTGGAAAACACTCCCAGGCCAGGAGTGGTGGGCACCCTGCCCTGCTCACATGCCATCGTGGGAAACGGACCAGGACTCAGGACCCGGGACCAGCTTCAGTCCCACCGCCACCGAGCATGGCCGTGAGCTGCCCATGCCAGCGCTGGGCTGGCAGAGACGTCCCTCACGGATTACCAACCGGATCATCGCGATTTAAGGAACTGTGACCATTTCTCAGACAGTGTGTGCAAACCTGAGCTTTTATTTACTTTTTAATATATTGTTATTAATTTCAGAGAGGAAGGGAGAGGGAGGAGAGATGGAAACATCAATGATGAGAGAGAATCATTAATCAGCTGCTTCCTGCACACCCCCTACTGGGGATCAAGCCAGAAACCCAGGCATGTGCCCTTGACCGGAATCGAACCCAGGACCCTTCAGTCCGCAGGCCAACACTCTATCCACTGAGCCAAACCAGCTAGGATTGAGCTTTTATTTTAAGTAAGGATAAAAATGATGCTGGTTCTATGCAACTCTATGAACTTCCTGAGAGCAGGAGAACCATTATGCATTTTCTTGATGTTGTAATGCGTTTCCATTTCTACTCGTGCAGCGAGCCTGCTGCCTGCGTGTTTACTAGGAAACTGAGACGAGTCGGAGGCTGGGAGCGGTCCTGTTCAGTGGTGGCCATCGATGGGGAGGCGGGGGCGCCACACCCAGGGAGTGTGACTGTTCCGACCTCCCCGAACTCAACCTCCTGCGAGAAAACAGAAACACCAAGAACCAGGGGACAAAAGAAGAGAAGAAGAAGTGCTTATGGAAATAGTCGACACAAATAACACAAAATGGAGCATGAGGCTGCCAATCTGAGAAAGACAAGCATCACATGATCTCACTTACGTGTGGGATCTAATGAACAAAACAAATTGACCAACAAAATAAGACCTGAAGCAGGGGGGTGTGGAGCAGACGGACATGCCTCGATGTGGGGGTGGGCGGACGAGGAGAGATCAACCAAAGAACTAATACACGTATATGCACGGCCCACGGACACGGGCAATAGGGGGGTGAAGACCTGGGGGGGTGGTAGGGGCTTGGCAGAGGGGGATAAAGGGGGGAACTGGAAACATCTGTAATTCCATCAACAATAAAAATTTAAAAATCTGTATTTAAAAAAAGAAATAAGGTTGAAGAGAGGTTTATACGGATTTTACATTACAAAACAGGGAGAAAAAGTCATGCAAACATTAACATGGAAGTGAGGCTTGACATGGTCCTACCAAACTGGAAGAACATAAATACAGACCTTCTCTAAAAGCTTCATTGATGTGCACGGAATGAAAACTCTATTTACCAACGTCACAAACGAGCTTGTCACGATTTTGATGATCGAAACAGAATTATAAAAACGACAACAATTCCGAGTATTGTCGGGGCCACAGACGCCCCTCTGTCACCGGGGACCATGTGACCTTCGTTTACAGAAGACAGCGGAGGCCCGGCTGGGGCGGACCCTCTGGCCTGCACTCAGGGAGCAGGTGGGAAGGGGCAGGGGGTGCCCACGGCCCTGTCTGCACCCACAGCGTGTCCTGGATCAACCCCGCAGGACTCGACGGCCAGGCACAGACTACTCTGCCCTGGACCCGCCTTGTTCATCACTTGAAATAGGACACGACACAGGAGACGGTCACTGTGGAAACCGGCAGATGCGACGGAGCAGGGACTCCCCCCACAGCCAGCTGACCAAGCTCCGCCCTGACCGTTTCCCGCCGGAACCCACTGCCTACGATCGACACTTGCACGATTCTGAAATTTTCTTTTTAATTCCTTAGATTCCTGTCGTAGCAGAATCAGAACAGAGCCATAATGAATCTAGGAAGTTGAGTGTTACCAGAAATAAAATTATGACGGCTCAATATGAATGTTACCAGAAAATTATACAAGATCCCATTCAACACACTGAAGGTAAACATGACTATTTAATTTTCGATGCTCTGATATATTTCTAAGAGAAAACCACCCCATTCCTTCATACGGGTGTCGTAGGCCCCTTATTAAAAACGGCTGAGTTGCTAATTTTTCTGGTATCTGAACAGTTTTAATTATTTATGAAGAACACTTTATGACATAATTTCTCTCTCCTACAAAATTCTAATCAGAATATGTGCAATAGGGATATTGTTAGTAGCAATTATTATGGTACAAAAATATTTAAAATATCCAAGTAAGTATGTGTTTTGAATTAAATAAGTGACAGTTGATCTTCAGTTTATGTAATTATGTTTTTAACGAGCTGCTGGATCGGAGTTTGCATAATAAAATGACTAACGATTTTTTTTCTATAATTTATGCTTTGAATAGTACATTTGGTCGCAAAGTTAATGAAGTATAAGTGCTTCTGCTCCCATTGTCAGTCTTCAGGTATGTCTGAGGCATTTACTGAGCGTCTCCTAAATGCCTTATTGGCCCCAATTCTGAAGAAGTAAAGATGAGTAACACCAGTGGAGTGGCCAGACTTAGCAAAATAATAATAATAATAATAGAAAATAACACCTGTATTTTATCTGGCAGCCTTAACAACATGGTTTTCTTCAAATATAAAATGCAAACTCACAATACAACAAAGCAAAAGACTTTAGCTATTTCTAGATTTTTAAACTATCAGTGGAAACAAAGATCTTAAAATGTTTTGAAATATTTGATATATTTATATATTATTTATATTTATATTTATATATTTATATAAATAAAGTGTTAAAAGTAGGTTGTTATTAATATTTGTAACTGTCAAGATGTACTCGCTTGTGAGAAAGAGAAAAAAAGTGTGTTTTTTTGACATTGGTCAACTTTTAAAATTTTAATATATAAGTAAACAACGTAATTTGTTTATCTTTGGAGAAGTACTTGGGTACCTCTGCTTGAACATTCTTATTAGAAGATATTTATCCAGTTAAAAAATATCTTTAAAATAAGTAAGACAGCCCTGACCAGTTTGGCTCAGTAGCTAGAGCGTCGGCCTGTGGACTGAAGAGTCCCAGGTTCGATTCCAGTCAAGGGCATGTACCTTGGTTGCGGACACATCCCCAGTGGGGGGTGTGCAGGAGGCAGCTGATGGATGTTTCTCTCTCATGGATCTTTCTAACTCTCTATCCCTCTCCCTTCCTCTCTGTAAAAAAATCAATAAAATATATTTTAAAAAAATAAAATAAGTCAGACAATGACAAATGATCTGATATTAGGTCAATAGGAGTTGAATGATCAAACATTGAACTATTTGTGTACAAATTCAGACATGTCTCATTTTAATTTGGAAGTCAGTTATTCTAATCATGACGGTGAAGTAATCCCTGCACGCTCATGCGCCCATGGGGACGTCCCGGTCAGCGATGACCAGCAGGTGTCAAGGGTGCCATGTGGCCTGGGCCCCTGGATTGGTGTGAGTGCACTCTGTGCTGTGGGCACAATGACAGAGTCACCCAGGGATGCATCGCTCAGACCGTGCCTGGCTACAGGGTGTACGTGAGTCTTCACCGTCAGTAGACAGCCTGTACCCCATGTCAGTGTGGGCCCACCACCAAGACTACGGGTAGCCCTAGCCGGTGTTGCTCAATGGATAGAGCGTCAGCCTGTGGACTGAAGGGTCCCAGGTTTGATTCACGGTCAAGGGCACATGACTGGGTTGCCAGCTCGATCCCCAGTAGGGGGAGGCAGCCTATCCATGATTCTCTCTCATCACTGCTGTTTCTATCTCTCTCCCTCTCCCTTCCTCTCTGAGATCAATAAGTATATGTATATTTTAAAAGTCTGTCCTCACAGACACCTGCTGGAGTTGGTCATTCCTGCCTTCCTCTCCCCCCCCCCCCCACATGTACTGCAACCGGACCTGGGACGGCTGGCTGTGCTGGAACTACGTGCTGGCGGGCACCGAGTCGGTGCAGCACTGCCCGGACTACTTCCAGGACTTCGACCCCTCAGGTAACGGTGCCACTGGTCCGCCCTCCCCTGGACACCCTGTCAGTAAACCTGAGGCTCACAAGATTGTTCTCCTTTCCCCTTTTTCATTTTAAAGAAAAGGTTACAAAGATCTGTGACCAGGATGGACACTGGTTTAGACACCCAGACAGCAACAGAACCTGGACCGACTACACCCGGTGCAACACCAACACGCACGAGCGCTTGCAGGTAGGTCGTCCTTGTGTGAAGGGAATTGGATCTGCACTCGCTACCACACAGTGTTACCGAAAGGCACGTTGGAGAAAGCTAGCCAGCGCCTGGCCTCCGGGGAGCCTGTCCGCCATGGCCTGGAGAAGAGCAGTAGGAAGACGATCTGTAGGAATAACGCCCGTCGAACCTGCATCGCGCTGAGGACGCCGCTCTGCAGGGGACGGTGCATTACACGACCTCGTGCAGGCCCTAGCTGCCAGCTTTTTGAGAGCACGCACGAGGACACGGAAGGGAAGCTTTGTGGTGGCGGTGGATTTCTAGAATGCCACGGAGAGATCGGTCTCAAGCAGACTAGGCCGTCCAGCAGTGACAACAGTCCTCTGTCCCTTCTGACCGGCCAGTAGGGCCCTCCCCCCCTCCTGCTGTTCACACCATCCAGTGAGTCCAGGTCATCAGCGTCTGTCACGGAATCAAGCTTTGGTGGTGCCTGGTCCATCTGCAGGTGTGTGTATGGAGAGAAAGGGACAGTTGTCCCAGTGAGGGACACTGAGTCCTGCTATGACTTCCATCCAGGCACCTGACCAGCTGGGTGGCCTGCAGCGAGCCATGACCTCTCCCGGCCTCCGTGTAATAAGCAGGGATCACAATAAACCCACCCTCGGGGTTTCCTAAGGATGGACTGGCCACAGGGAAACACTCGGGAAGGAAAGGAGTGTGTCGGACAGCCCCGACAGCCGCCCGCTGTCTTTATCACTATAAGTCATCTCTCCTTTGCTTGTGCAGAGAAGAGTTTGAAGAAAATTTTTAAAATGCACAATAAAACGGTAAGTTACAAGTAAATGAATTACAGACAGATCACCAAAGAGAACATGTCAAGACCAGGAGGACGTTAGAAGGGATTTGTGCAGATCCTACGTTACGTCCTGAGGTGCGTCTCCGCCTCAGTCTTGTCAGAGAACAGAAGCCCAGTGGGGAAGGAACGCCTCCTCTGACATCCACGTAAAGAACAAGACGGAAGTCACCAAATAGCATTGGTTTCAGGTGCACAGAGAGAGAGGCGAACACTGGCCCTGTCCTCCAAGATGGAAAATGCTGGTTTCACCTGGTACACAACCTCAACAATAACAGTATCCCTGCGCCTACTTAATATAGGGCAGTGGTTCTCAACCTTCCTAATACCGCGACCCTTTAATACAGGTCCTCATGTTGTGACCCAACCATAAAATTATTTTCGTTGCTACTGCATAACTGTAATTTTGCTACTGTTATGAATCGTCATGTAAATATCTGATATGCAGGATGTATTTTCATTGTTACAAATTGAACATAATGAAAGCATAGTGATTATTCACAAAAACGATCTGTAATTATATATGTGTTTTCCGATGGTCTTAGGCGACCCCCATGAAAGGGTCGTTCGACCCCCAAAGGGGTCGCGACCCACAGGTTGAGAACCGCTGATATAGGACGTCTAATTCTTAAATACGAAGGGCATACGAGTGATAAATGTCGATGTCACTGGATAAATTGCATAAATACCCCTCATTCCAGATGTGTTCAGGCATTTGTTGGTTTGCAGGCTAAATGAGAAGGCCATAGATCACATGTTTGTGAACGTATAGTGCATCCATTGAATTTGATCTTCTACACGTGTGGGATTGTGGGATTGACATAAGCCTTACATTTCCTTTTTATTATAAATTACAGACGGCGCTGAATTTGTTCTACCTGGCTATAATTGGACATGGATTGTCTATTGCATCGTTGCTCATCTCACTTGGCATATTCTTTTATTTCAAGTAAGTACATGGAACATAGTGTTAAATTTACCAGTTGTCTTTGGTGAATGTCGTGCCATGTAGCTGGCATGTTATGTGCCAATAAAATATGTGAAATGTAGATGATTCATAATGTTTCAAATAAATTGGATGTTTGAAATAACTTGAAATATAATATGTCGACTTTACCTTAAATCCCAACTTTACAAAATTAGTGGAAATATGAGAATGAAGTCATATAAGAATGAAATCGTATGTGACTGTTTCCAGCTGTTTGGAAAATGTCGCATACTATAGGCCGTCTTAGTTGAATTTTCAGCTTATTGGTCAATTTTAATATCAGGATACATGGTACATTATAGGAACTGATATTTTGTGTGAATGATAGCAATAGCATTTAATATGTATTATTAGAAATAATAATATCAATGCAGTATGGTTTATTTTTTATGTAGGGGATCATTATTGAAATGATTAAATTATACATTGAATTTTACTTGAAATAACAGTTATTTGGGGGAGAGGGAGACTCAGCTCCAGTTTCTTGATACAACAAGTGATTTTTGTAATTAATAGGAAAGTAAATTCCCAAACACATATATATTATTTTATGCACTAACATGGTTTTCATAATTTTGATCACCACCAGTAACTATAGAATTCTATGTGAAGAGTAAGGAGCTCTATGTCACTGCATCTTCCTCACTAGTGTCATTATGATACAACCTGCAGACTCATATCTCATTTTAAAAGGGAGGCTAGAAATTCCATCTTTCCCCCAAATATTTCTCTCATGTTTCACATGTTAATAGGCCTATTTTTTCAAAGAGCAATTTCTAAAAAAATCAAGGGCGCGATATGCAGTAAGTACTTGTATCTCTGTGCTAAATTCCATGCTTTAAAAACAAAAAGATGGCTAGCACGCTACAGAGGCAAAACTGAATTAAACCCAATGAGTGTCTTGCTGATGTATGAAATTAAAATGAAAGTGTTCAAGTGATTACATTGCTTATACTTAAAGTTCATACTGAATGGACAACTAACTGTTCATTCACTATAGTGACCTAAAAAACAAGCCCGGTAATGGCGAGTTAGCATAACAGGAGTGGACTCAATTTCAGGCGCCACTCAGTTCTAATGGGTATGCCATGCAGTGATATAAAACGTGGAATTCACTCTAATCTTGCCATCGCCATTTAACTGATGGCGTGGACTCATCCTGATTCCGATTTATAGAAGCTTCAGTCTCTTTACAAATGCTCATAATACTGTTTAAAATACGGAGCAAAGACGACGCAGATGGTAGGTAGCTGGCATACAGGAATCTGTCAATACCTGGTGGGCAAACTGGACCATTAGGTTATCATTAGACTCTAGCAATCAAGTGGGCGCACAGATCTCACTATGTCATCACCTAACATCGCCTCCATATGATAGTAATACCAGGTTAAAAAAAGTTACTGCAGAGTTCCAGAGAGCGCTGGGAAAACGGGGTGGGGGAGCAGGGGCCGGAGAGGGGGACTCATGCTGATTCTCAGAATCAGAAGACCCCGGAGGTGAGGATCTCACGGAAGTCGGTGTTGAAGGATGGGGAGCCGTCCCACAGGCAGACACTGTAGAGTGTAGACCATGCGAGAGGCAGAGATTCTGTACTCTGGTGCCCGGTTTCACTGGGTTCTCAGTGGTTAACTGAGCTCTGCAGGTTCCTCCAATCCGCACCCTCTCTGTGTGGCCTCGTCATTTTATTGGACTTTCATTGTCTTTTAAAAATGGAGAATTTGAACAAAAAGAAGCAAGGCTACAAATGAATGTTTCTTTCTTATTATCTGTTGTTGGGCTTTAGGTAAAACATGAGAAACCCTCTTCAATAGGACCCCAGTCGAGCATTCAGTACATCTTTATATGTGTGGGCATTCTTCATTACAGGAGAGAGGGTAAGGCACAGGCCAAACAGAACACCGCTCACCTGTCACCTGCTGCACAGCAGGCAACAATTCTGTTGTTTCCTAAGCCTCCATTTCACATTCAAATGCAGACACTACTCGTATCTGCATCACAGATGTGGTGGAAACACGGAGACACACGTGCAGCGTGAAGCCAAGTGTCCCGTTTGGAAAACATTGTCGAGGACTGGCATAGCTATCACTCCTTCTTGTTCGTTCCTTAAAAGGTTTCTAGATAAATATTTAGCCCTGACAGGCATAGCATACCACTAGGCTCTTTAAAAAAGAACACATTGCTAGTTTCATAGGCGCCACATTGATAAAGAAGTTGTTATAATGTTCATATAGAAAAATCCTATATAATAAAAGCCCAGCGACCATAATGACCGGAACGACTGCTCGACCAGCCTCTGTGAGGTGCATTGACCACCTCTCAGTCTTCCCCCTCCCCCTGGCCTGCAGGCTCCAATCACAGCATGGTGAACGGGGAACCACGGGGAACCGCGTGGGTGGTGGCAGGGCGGGACGGGGACTGGCGAGCAGGCAGAAGGCAGACCTCTTGGTCCCCCCCCCCCCGCCCAGCAGGCCCCGGC